GGATCCAACTGCGAGCGCCAGACCCAGCAGTAGATGCTTTCAATGAGACGCACGTTGCGCAAAGAGGCAAAAAAATCGCTCTAAATAACTGGGTTTTGGGCATGCTCGCAAAAATGGCATGAAAACTTGTGAGAGCGCCTCGTGTTGCTGAACACGGAACATCCTCCTGCAACATGTTGTATAAAGAGGCAAACATGCTGCAAATAGCAGGGTTTGGGCATGTTCGCAACTGGCATGAACACTTGTGCCCGCGCCTCGTGTTGCTGAACATGAAGCATCCTCCTGCACAAGTTGTTTCAGCAAGCGAAAACGCCGTAAATAGCAGGGTTTGGGGTTGGTTGTGTAACATGGTCGTAACCGCCCCCGTCCCCCTCGCCCCCGCCGCAACCCCCTACGAAAACAGAAGAAAAGCACATGGCCAGATACGCGCATGTGTGGACTTGGTTTAGCGGCCTGAATAATGAGAATAGTGTTTTGGGGTATGTTATACTATAATGATAATAGAGAACCCCCCAAAATAGTATAGGTAATTATTTCAGCCCCTACATTAAGGTTTAGGGCAGGTCTGCTAGGCACCAGTCGCAGTCGCGAAAGTGTCACGCGCACCACAAACAACACACCAACACCCGAAACCTTCGGAGCAACAGAATCCGTCCACCGTCACAGGCACGAAGCCCGCATCGCGAATAATCAACAAACTCAGAATTACCAAGAAATTACAAGCCCGTGCACGTCACCGGTCCTGCGAAGAGAGCCAGGAGAACAGTCACAGCAATGCAGCGCTGAGTCGTATTTTTGACACGCACCTACACTCGGATGTCGCGGATCATATGTGCTCAGAGAGTGCCTAAGTTTGAGTCCTTGGATTTCCCGAAGCACGAAACTCCCCATTTCCACAGCCACGTGCACGAAGTCATACAATTTACAGCTCGGTCCCGCCGCCACGCGGCCAGATATCAAGGTGAGCATTATGAATATGATCTGGGGTACATTCTGTACTTCAACCCAGAGCCATGGGAAGTTGAAACCCTAAACCGTAAACACCACACCCTGAACCCTAAACCCGCAAGCTCAGACTCAAGACATCCCTTATTCAGGGACCTGAAGAGTTCTGCGTAGTATTAGGGTTTAGGGGTTGGTTAGGGTTTAGGGTTTAGGGTTTAGGGTTTAGGGTTTAGGGTTTATCTCCTATAGTTTGACGTCTATATGGTACAATATCCCCCAAGACCGATTTTACTCTCTAAACCCTTCCCCTGTAAATCAAAATCATCCCAGTATCCTTTAGTTAAAGGATCCCAAACCGTACCTGGAATCTGAATGACTTACCTGCCTCTTTCATGATTTGTATACGCAGTTCAGAACAAACAAGGTCACTTGGCCCTAAATTCTAGGCGGCCTTAAGCCCCAAACCATATGCCAATTATGAAGAGCCCCCAGGTCTGAACCCCAACGGGCAGAGAATTTCTTCTGGGTTTCATGGAATTCGAAGCCCCCAACACCTCTAAGCTTCTAAGGCCAAAAGACGCACCGGGTTTAAGGTTTCGTGTTTGGGAACGCTTAAGGGTTTAGGACTCTAAGCCCTATAGGCTCTAATCAGGGTGTGGCTTCCAAGGTGGGTTTGGTGCTTGTAGGGTGCAGGCTTCGGAGCATTCACTGACAGCCCAAGCCAAAGACTCTAGGGCTCAAGGTTTAGGGTATGTGGGTAGTTCTCCAAAGTAGGGGTGCTGACCTAACAAAGGACCCTAATTCAGGGGTTTGCCCCATATAATATCGGGTTCAGGAATATGCAGAGGATCAGGACAGTCACATTTGTTCGCCATGACACTTTAAACATGTACTGCCACGACCCCGGCTGACCCAATACAGCAAAGCTTGAAGTTCTGCAACCAAACCACAAAGCCCTAAACCCCTAGAACCATAAGCAACTACACCCTAATTCTTAAAGTGTCTGCAAGGAAAAGCCTCAATCAGCTGCTTGTCTTTGTTTTCGGGCACTTCCATCCAGGACGAAGGGTAGCGTGAAGCTCGAAGCAAAAACCCTGAAGTGCTGAACCCATATAGAAGCTGTGTAGACCGCGTAATATAGGGGCCGTATAATTACCTATATTATTTTGGGGGGCTGCGTATTATAACTATAATATAATATAACCCAAGGCCCTATAGTCTAAGTATTACGGCCCCTATACTATAGAATCCCGTCAAGAGACACCCCAAACCCCAAAGTTCATTTGTCCAGGGCCGGGCTAGGATCCTTCTTGTGGTGAGGGTTTCAGGATTTTCATTGGGGGGTTGTTGTCCCAAGGTTTAGGTTTAGGGTTCAGGTTTTAAGGTTTCGGGTTTAGGGTTGAATGAGGGATCATGTTTCGGGTTCTATGTGGATTTGAGGGGTCTTTCCTGGGTTCATTTAAATGATTGATTGAATCATTCAACTGAGCAACTGATCGTCTCACCAGTAGAGTCCGCTCGCTGTCGTTTTGCCGTCCAGAGCGTTGAGAATTACTGCCACAGCTCTTGCGCCCCTGGTCAAAGACGATAGTCGATGTAGACGAAAGCGTGGCACATTCTAACTACACAATTGCCATACTTCTGGTGTGGTAGCATCATGTGCAAGCAATGACAAAACCACCTTGAGGGCATTTGGCCCTTCATTCGTCTCTCGTTTCGTGCGCGCACCGAGCCTTAGCCATCAACATGTTGAGTTGCACGGAGTGCTTGGCCTCTGAAGGGCGCCTTTGGATTTGGATGGTTCGACCCAATGCCATAGGTTCAGACGAACATGGCTACTGCGAGACGTGCTTCGGCAAATGGCGGTTCCAGGCGGAAAACCTTCTCACCGATCGGAACATGCTTGTGCTGAACCCTGCCAGCTGCAGCACCATGTTCTCGTCGCGGGCTCTGGATGCTTTCCCCTGCTGGTACGTGATCCCTACGACGCAGGCAACAATTTGAGCGCTTGCTGGGCGTGGTGATACACGTATGACGCCGACAAAGTCATGAAAAGTGGCCAACACCACGCAGCACATCCCGGCAAATGTCGACCTGTCCTCTGACTCTGTGCACATCACCGAGTACAGCGGAAGGTCTGAAGATTTATATCGTTATCAGAGGAATCTGTTTTCAAGAAGATCTGAAGAGTTTTAGCTTTTGGTCCTGACAGGTTTGAAGAATTGTACCTGGAACCTGTTATAAGAGCAGGCGGATACCGAACCGCCCGGAACAAGCTGCATGCAGACTTCTTACAGAAGCTGCTGTCCATGGGTTAGGAGATCTTCAAGCAATTCCCAGTACAATTACCTACAGTATGTAGGGAACTCATAACACCGCATGTGAACTCTACTAAGTACCTACATGCGGGCTACTTGCCCAAACCACAATTGTCATCCCCATTGTAGAAACCCTGCAGTCTACTATATGCTTACGACGTTTCAGCAAGACTCAACTTTAAGGAAGCAGTTCAGCACCTTCGTGGGCAACTTCATCCGCGGCCTGTGTTGTGCTTTTGGCCTGAACAGCTGCAGCTCGGATCGGCAGTATCGAAGCCCAAATGATAGTAAGAACAGTCCCTTTTATAAGTATAGCATCACATGCCCCAACAATTAGGAAGATTGTCCTCGGTTATAGTTACTGTCTAGTAATAATCGGCCGCAAAACCACTTTCAGAGATTCAGGCCCCTTCACCCATCGGGGATTGGGGCCTAGGGCTGATATAGGGGCCTTCATAACCTATATTACTTTCGGGAGGTCCTTATTAGAATCGTAACACCGTATTCTAAGCATTAAGATCCTTACATTTTTCTGATGGTTCTCGCAAGCTTGCTTTCCGGGTTGCTGAGCAGTTACTTTCCCCTCCAAGGTTGCAGCATGCCCGGTGTCTTGAACCCCAAAACCTGACAGCACGGTTTTCAACCCCTAAACCCTAAGGAATCCCAAACTCTTAACCCCCTGAAGACTAGAAAGTCATAATTGCATCGACTCATGATCTGAACAAATCCTTGGCTCAGCTTGACCCTATGGGATCCTGAAGGGAGGGTGTCCGAAGGGGGTAGTAGAGTAAGGGTTTAGGGCCTTAGGGTTTTAGGGTTTTGGGTTTAGGGGTTTAGGGGTTTAGGGTTTAGGGGTATCAGGGAGCCTTAGGGAACCTTACATATAGGGCCATACACCCTCCTTGAACTCCTCTCTCTTACGGAAGGATCCCACAAACCCCAAACCCCTAAACCCTAAACCCTAAACCTGCACTTAAAAACAAAAACCTGGATCCCACAAACCCCAAACCCCTAAACCTTAAACCCTGGATCCCACAATGACCTTCGAGACCCTCGCTGAAAGCTCGAGGCGTCTCCAGACCCGGTGGTGGACTCCGTCAGGCCAAACTCTCTGGGTTTGGCTTCTGGATTTAGGATTTAGGGTTTAGGGTTTCGGGTTTAGGGTTTAGGATTTAGGATTTAGGTTGAAGGCTTCGAGGTTCCGGGGTTCAAAGTTGTGGGTTCATACCGGAATGATAGGCTTGCATGTGCATTTCGATCATTTAGGTGTTCGTGTGTCCTTGTGCGTGTAGCGGCGCCTTTGTAACTAAGGAGTGATGGCTTAGGATGCATTAAGGTGGAGGGTTTAGGGTTTAGGGTTTAAGATGCATGGCTTGGGGTATGGGGTTTTGGAGTTGAGTCGTCCGGCTCCGGGCGGTAGCTCGCAGTCCTAAATTTCCCTTGGACCTGGAACCCTGAATCTAATCCCCTAACCTCGAAAGAGTGGCCCTCAACCCACAGATGGCTAAGCTCCAAGCCCCTTGGCCAATCATGCCCAAACCCTCTATGAGTCTGAAGGCCCAACTTGCAGTCCAAACTAAGCGCGAATTCCTGAGTCCAATGCGTCTTAAGTTTCCAAACCTCATGAAACCTTGATCGAACAACATCCTCGACCTCTAATTCTCTAAGCCGACACCCTGAATTTCTGAGCCCCGAAACCGTATCCTAAACTCATCGGAAGCCCACAGCTTAGTGAAGGACGACGACCGGCCTGAAGCCAGCCGTGCAAGCCGCGGCCATTGGAGCTCACTGCGGCTTTGGCTTTCCTAAACCCTAAACTCTAGACCCTAAACCTTTAGCATTTACGTGTTGTGGGTGTGCTTGTTTTGTTTAAGGTTTAGGGGTTTGGATTTATAGGACTTAGATTCTGTGCTGTGTTGCGGTTGGGTGTTGGGTGTTGAGCTTTGGGGCTTTTTTTGGCTTGTTCAGCCCATGAAACCCTAATCCCTTCCCCCTAGCATAAAAACTCGGAAAAAGCTTTGTTATTAGGGTGTATGTTCATCTCTACTTCCACTTTTGAAGGGTCGTGCTCTTGCTCCTGTGCCGGGTCGGGTCGCGCTGGGGTGAATTGGGCCTTAGGCCAGCGCGTGCCACAAACCCTAACAAGCACATGAACCGTCATCAACTTCGCGTTGCATGAGTCTGCAGCTTTGCCTGGCTGCTGCAGTGTCTTGTCTTCTCGATCTTTTGTTGCACCCGCCCGCCCGC